TTCCCTCTGTCGCCACAGACACACCCGAGAGACCCGGCATGAACTGAATACCACACTAAGGCATGGCATGTGTGTGTGTGTTGCTGCAAATGTCCGAGGACTCGGGTGGAGCCTTCTGTTCAGAACGGGTGTGCTCGTCTGTCAGCTGTTGTGCACAGACGGTCTGAGACGAACAAGTTACCATCCTCCCACACGCTCACACACACACACACACACTCAGACGCACATATAAAAACATGCCATATGCACATGACCAACCAATAACCCATCCAACAACGTGCCTCCAAGAACTGACACAGTGCATCATGTAAATACATTTTTGCTGCCATTTCAATAAGCATTTTATTGCCACATGAGTCAATGGTCTCCCTGACCTGCTTTTTGTGCATCAAACAGACATGATGAATAACAATTATTACTAATATTAGTTATCATTAGTCATTTATCAAAGTGCATTTGAAAGGCGGGCTGTGTTTTGTGATCTGAGTTTGAGAAAACAGGGAGCGATGATGCATCTTGGCATTAAAGCAGGGGAAAAAAGGCTTGAAGAAGCTGGAAACGGTCAATAGGTCAAATTTAAAGGTCATTCAGTAGGTACTTAAGGATTCTCATGTTTGAGTTTTTTATAATGGCCTGTTTGGAAGATTGATGTTGGCATTTTTGATGCTAATCTAAGGTCACGACTTCAAATTTTGAAAAGACCTTCACTGCTAGAACAGCTTAACATGTAGAACAATATGTACAAAAAATATGTAAGACAGAAAAGGAAGTGAGTCCCTAAAACTAACTTGTTTCATCATCTCAAACGGAAGCATTTTTTTTTTATTATACTTCTATATAGGATTGTATCTTTATGGAAATATAGTACGTTCCCTATATAGAGCTTCCGTAGCAATCAACAGGGAATATTTGCCAAAAGTTTCTGTCATCAAATTAAGTGCATTAAATATTAAATAGCTTCATTCCATAACCATGATGTCATCTGACAAAACAACTATAACTGCAGGTTAAAAATTTTGCCTATATTTACATATAAACTCATCACTTATATAGAAAGTTACAAGTAACAGATGGTATTTCTTACTTCTTCTTACTATGTGTGGAAATAAACCACAAGAGCCATGTTGCACGTGTGCAAAAAACATCATTCACCTGAGCTGCTGCTTGTTACTCTGCTGCTCGTGCACTCTGCCTAAGCTGAAGCAGAGTTCACAAATCTTCTTCTCCTTTAAAAGTACTGATAGTTTTTTTTTTACTACTTTCATTTTAACATTTATAATTTTTCCTAATCAAAAATGTAAATTAGCGTGTGAACAGCAGCCTACCAAGACTGAGTCAGACACATTGATGATACCCTTACAATCCTCATAATCCTTATAAACCTAACACTAGGCCTTGGCGTAGCCCCCACTTTCTGAAACAAGTCTTTCCACATCCATTTAAAGCTACTTCCTTCTGATTTGCTGCCCCTTCTCAGTGGAAGGTTCAAACAGTCTGGGCTGTTGAACATAAATGAAATTGTGACCATGTTTAATATGAGCATCCACCATTGTGACAGAAAAAAGAAAAGCACAATAGTTCCAATTTAATTACAGTTACAGCTGGTTTGGGGTACAGGGGTCTCGAGGGTGAGAAGGGTTAAGACAATTCTTCTTCTCGACCATCAGCGAGTCATTTGTGTTCTGCTCCAGACCTCATTTCTGCTCTGTAAGGTGCGGGGTTAGTGAACCATCACCATTGCAGTCCACTGTAACTGCTGTGAAACCATGCTGAACATGTCAGAGGTGCAAACTGCAGACGTTTTACAAGCTCCTTTATTGCCTCGCTCTAAAACAGAGATTTTGGGTGGAGTGAGAGTTTAATGATAAAACCCTCACTTCTGTTTTAGAGCCCCATAAATCACCGCAAAGCTCGGCTGTGAGCCGTGTTTAGCGTTAAAACATTGACAGCTACCATATGATAGAAGAGTTGATTAACACTAAAGTTAAGAATTATAACCCACTTTAATTTATCAATGACTTAACAAATTGGATGGACCAATTTAAAAAGTCCTGTATGACCTTCATATATTTTTTTGTATTTTAGCCAAAGTGATCAGTTTCTACAAAGCACTTGTCCCTATTGCACCAAAGTTGGCCATTAATTCAAATTAAATTAGTTATTCACATATTAAAGTGATTAATGGACTGGTCTTTAGCGTGGTCTCCTCCTGGCATGTGGTTTTGGGGAAGCTGGGCCAGTATTATTCATGCATTCAGAACCTAAACGAGTTATTTCATGAGAATTAAATGAAAAGTTGAACAAATTATTATTGGTGCAGACAACCTGAGCCTAAAGGGACAGTAACTTTAGAAACACCAAAGCTGTAACTTGTTTACCCTTCATGTTTAGAAGCGATTAAATGATCATACATCAAAACAGAATTTGGAATACGTCACAATGTCTGCAACGAGCTGCAGCCAAAATAAGCCGTCACACTGTGTGGGATCTGGGAAATGCACAGTAGCCATTTCTTTTTGTGTGCAAGAGAGTTTTACAATGCTCACACAGGCCCCTGGGTACAGACCTAATCAGCCCGGCTACTGAATTATGCATGACGATAATCTCTAGTCTGATCACTCCAAGGTATCACCAGCACTCTTATAAACAAAACGTAATTACATTTTTGGATAAACACTCAGGCTTAAAGTTTTGCGCTTGTGTTTAACTTGTGTCTTTTTTTTCTTAAAGATGCTGTTCTGTTGCTCTGTATTCACCGATCTCATTTTAATAGCTCTAAAGTCGACAGGAATTACATCTTTAAAGTTACAACCAGTCTGCAAGAAACAGTGATGTATGTGATTAGTGTGCATGTGGTGCATTGCAAAAGCTCTGCGTGGGTCATAATTAGCAGCCAAAGATGCAGATTTGTTTAACCCAAGGTGCAACGCTTCTTGATTCAACAAAAAGAAACAAAACTTATTTATTAAGGAGCTACTGTCAAAATAAGAGCCTGTGAAATGTTTGCATTAGCATTATAGCTATGTTCAATAGTGAGATAGACAGCATTTTACTGCTTGTTCACACCAAACAAAGTGAAGCCAAAATATCCTAAAAGCACGCACTGTTCCTTTGTGATTTTTGGTACATCATCTGCAACCAGAGTCAGCAGTAACCCTGCGGGTGGTGACGTGATATCGAGCTCGCACCTCCTGCCTGGGCCAAAATGTGAGCACACACAGAGATGCACAAAACAATGACACAGAGGGACGTGATGCTGCTGAAATGCTGCAAAGTTGGTTAAAAATATGTCTCTGAGACAAGAGCTAGAGCTAGAACTATCTAGTGTGTCAAACACAGATCTACTGTATATGCATATTTGCTACCTGATATGTGCCGATATGCAAACTTTCCTCCACAGAACACAGTGGCAACAAAATCCTTTGCGTAACTTAGATAACCAAACGGAGATAGCGCTATTTCTAAGTGTCCCCATTAGTAGGAAGACTCCATATCACATCTGAGTAAATAGTGACACTGAGTCAAGCAGTGACTTCAGAATAAGCTGCAAATGAGTTAGTGAAATAGATTGTTTGTTACATAGGAGCATTTTGGGAATTGTCCCCGGAAAGTCTTTAGGAATCACATTTTTTTTTAAATACAGGTGATTGGTTGAACAAGATGACTGCCACAAGTTACATCCACTGGATAACTTCAACCAGTCCTATGAGCCATATGCGGAGAGCACAGACTGTATATAAGAGATGGATAAATATAACAGTTCTGAAAAGTGAGATATTTGCCAAAGAGCCTTGGCTCATCTGTTATTAGCATGAGAACTGAAAAGCCTGATGGTTGTAGGTGCAAATGATTTCCTGTATCTCTTTATTTTACAGCGAAGAGAGGGAATCTTCCAGTACTGATGTCTTTTGTTCCAGTGGTTGATGTTACAGTGGCTTAAGCTGTATTTTATATTATCCATGAATCAAAGCAGAAACACCCCTCAGTTCCTCAGAAAACACTTTCTGATGAATTCGTAATCTCAAAAGCTAGTTTGGTATTCATTTTGGAAATTGTTGACCCCATTAGATGCAAAAAGGAGGATATAGTAATATAGTAGGGTGGGACAAGTTAACAAGTTGCTACCATTGGAGCGGTTTGCCTGTGTTTCTCAGACAGATTCACCCATCACTCTTCAAACACCCAGATGGCAAAGCTTGAAGCTTCAGAGTGGGGCCTCCCTTATCACAGGGTGATGGCACCAGAGCTACATCCATCCTCTATATACAGTCTGTTTGCAAAACACTCTGTGACTTAATTCTTGGGAAGTGTTTACAAAAGGCAGATTGGTTGAGCCATCTGCCTGCCACCTTCTATTATGGGCTAACTAACCTCCGAATCATTCAGATCAATGAACCACAGGAGAGCGACACCTAGCGAGCAGTCAGTATATTCTTGCCATGTTTCACAGTTTGGCATCTATCCCTGTCTACCCTCACACCTTACACATGCCTGCAGCTGTGACCTTCACGGCTAGTAGATTCTCACAAGATGTTGATTAGTTGAACTAACAGGTGTGCCATTTGAAACTAAGCAGGATGAATTCTGATGTATTCCCGATTTCGCCTGAAGCAGCCTGAGGAGGTAAGCAGTCGATCTGCCCCCTTTCCCCCTTTCAAAAGTTTCTACACCCGCCCCTGCTCTAAGCAAGGAAGTTTGTTTCTCCTGCTGTCACTCTCTCACACATTACATCATTGCCCACTGATCATCAGGTGCCTGGCTGATGCATCGGCACACACACACACACCTCCCACACAACAAATCAACTTGTCAGCCTCTTATCTCCCCTGCCTGAATGTCCAGTCGTGATCAGAGACAGTATTTGTGTGTGCGGGTCCGTGTGCGAACGCGTTCCAGCTGTGTAATTTAAAAATGAATCGTGTGCATAATACGTGCGCGTGTCTGTATCGTTGTATTTATGTGTGTGTGTGCGTATCTGTGCGTGTGTTTCTGCTGCCCACCTTTCATCCAGTCCACCACCTGGCTTGTGCTCCATTTGCTCACTGGCTCCATCACCAGCGCCATCGAGGAAACTTTGCGCTTACTCTCCGTTGCGCGCAAGCAGTGGCGTTACCCCCAGAACAAGGCTCTGTGAGGCGGGTACACCTCCCGCCCTCCTCCACTCCCCTCCCTCTCTAATTTCCTCCGCAGCCAGGTGACTACTTTTTTTTATTTTTTACTTTGTCCCTCTCTGGTCCTGGTCCCGCTGCCTCAGTATCAGCCCTGTGTCGTCTCCCGTTAACGCAGTGGAGCCCTCAGTGCGGGACAGCCCGGGTGTGTGCGCAGCGGAATCCGGCACATTCCCCTGCTCGAGCCGGTCTGACTTGTGTCGCCTCTCTCCGTTTCTCTTCTCTCCCTTCTTCCCAGTGCGCTAGTCCGCTCCTGCGCTCCGGTGTGTGTGTGTGTGTGTGGTATTGTAAAGAGAGCGAGAGAGAGGAGTGTATGTAGGTGTGTGCGCAGCCGCTCCGTTACCGACAGCAGCAGTGTAGGATAGATAAGTCACACTGGACTTAAAGCCGGCAGCATCTCTCTCTCTCTCTTTTCCAGATATGATTAATCCGTGCACGCGCTCTGTGGGTGGCTCCGCGCGCACGTCAGTGTATTTCCCACCGGAGCGATAGTCATGCAGATATGATTGAGGGAGGAGATATTCTCAGAAGATATTTAATAAGAACGTGTCTTCGATAGAGAGACATTGTGTTACATACAGAGAGAGGGAGAGTCAGCATGGGGTACCTACACACTTTCTGCTCCAGCTGCTGTGTGAGGAAACTTAATGAATCCTCAGCCAACCGCTCCACCTCCACTCCAAAGATCGTTTCACTGCCCCCTCAAACCATTTATCTTTCTCTCTGCCTTGAAATCCTCCATGTAGATGTTGAGCACACACTTGTTTTACATTTACACCATATTTGCTTGACTGGAAGAGTACAAGACCTACACTTTTTTAAATAAGTAAATATAGGTTGTATGTGGGTTAAACTGGAACATTTAAATTAACATTATACAAATTGATTTATAGTCTTTATTTTGACTCTTGCAGCTGTTTCTTTGCAGTGTTCTTAAAACTTGTTCCTGGACAATTTCAGATAATCTTAAAGAGAGTGCAGGTGAGGCTGGAAACACTTCAAGCATGATCTTTTTCCAAGTTCTGAGACATTTCTGCTCCAGACAAATTACAGTAGTGGATTTGTTTAGGGACAACTCCACCAATGCAGAACCAGGAGCAACACAGCCTACATCCTTGCTAATGTGTAACTGAATTAGATTTCTTAGTAAGTAAGTTTATTCATAAGTTTAAAAAACAATTAATAAATATATTGACATACAAAATATATGGGCAAAAGTTTATGTGCAATGCAAGACAAGCTTAAGACAAATCGAACATGAAAGCCTGCTCTAACACGCTAATCCAGTCCTGAATAAGCATAGATACCACCTCAAATAGTGTTGGGATCAGTTATTCTTAGTGGTTTCCATGACTGGTTTTATTTGTCCAAGTTCTCATGTAGCCACATTTATGCCTTCATCGAATTGCAATGTAACTGGTGGTTTCATCAGAGGGCATTTCCAAGAGCACAGAACCTCAATGTGAACTCTTCTGTGTGTTTCCTTAAATAAAGAGGAAAGTCAAGCACACAACCTGGAAAAACAAGTAAGTGAAAACCATCTTCAAATAAAACCATATAAAACTGTAAAACATGAATAGATCTATAAAACCAAAACTTTTCTGGTAGAAAAGCACAGTTAGTTCTGTTACTGGCATCTATGTAGAAGCCAGTGTACTCCGGTCCCAGCCCTTAATTCCATCAGAAAGGCCATCAGGCATAAAATTTCAGTCAAGCATGTGGCTCATAAAGAGATGTTGGTGTGATGGAAGAGGATGCTAGGTATAGGTTGAAATGGGGTGTGATGGAGATAGATGATCCTCTTTGGCGACCCCTACAGGAGAAAGAAGAAGAACTAAAATGCAAGAAGTGCTTAAAACTGAAAAAGGAGAATTTTCCAGAAAGAGTTTACATATAAGTAGGTAAAATCTGTCATGAGGTATTCTTTTATTTCTACCTTTAGGGTGAGCTGATTGCTTTATATCCTTTCTTTAGTTTATCTTTTAGTTTAGTTTTATTTTAACCTTAATACAGATCAGCTGACTGTGACAAGCTTGTGCAGTAAAAATTTAATGTCCTACTCCGGATTTTGCTGGAAACTGGAGGAATTCATTCTTTGGTGTTGTTACTGGAGTCACAAATGAAATTATTAAATCTAATTATTAATTTAGTAATTACATTGTATTAGTGCCAGATATCTACCTACATAACTTTCCAACCCTTTACAAGTGCTGTGCACGCTCATTCCAGCTATAAAGAAGTGCTGGATGATCTGATTCACTGCTGCCTCACCTCCTACTGTAGGCTGACGTTTGCACATTCACTGAAGACAACCAGTGAGATGAGAGTCAAGATTTCGTAACGCAACAGAGACATCTGCTGGTGAAAAGTGTAACTGATGTGGATTAAAAGCGACTTACTGGCTGACTTACTGGAAGCCCGACAAATGAAAGAGAAAAACTGCAGAAGTTGGTGGAAAAATGAGACAAATTAATGTCACCACAAGGAAATTTCCCCTTTTTCAGTTTCCCCTCTTAGTTCTGTCTCATTTGTATTGTTCACACTCCCATGTGTTTACCTAGAAAAATGAAATAGTCAGACTACTGAAAACTGAAAGCACGAGATTGAAATTCATGTAACAACATTATCGGATTAAAATTCTAATTACTTTAATTAATTAAAATACTTAATTACTTACTTACTTGATGATGCCCTTCAGTATCCATCTAGGGAAAACAACTACCTGAGCTTGGGTAGTATTCACCTATACATTCATATACACTTACACACAGGACAGAGTCAAGTCACAACGTGTAGGTTTAAGTTTGAGTAGTGACATATTTCTATCATTTGGACCCAGTAAGTGCCAGTGCCTCCTATTAATTTGAGAAGATCTGACCTGAGTAAGTTTAGTATCTTAGTCTTGTGAAACAGCCTCTAAATATCTGGGATGAAGTTCATTAAAAGAGTTTTATCTTCAAAGCAGTATTGTTCATAGTTTATCTTTTGATGCTTTACTGTGAGTTTCTGTTCTGTTGTAAGGTGATAGCAGAATATCATTCAGCTAAGGATCTACAGATTCACACAATGAGGATGAGGAAGTGAAAAGGGGAATATATGCTCATGAAAAAAATGCACACACTAAAGCACTAATGTCCTTCAGTTTAGTTTTGAAAAACTCATGGCTTATCATATTTTATACACACAATACACCCTCATATTAATACACATGTAACATGTGACCTATAATAAAACACAGTATATTGTTATACTATTATATAACCATTTTGAAGCAGCCAAACTGTTGTATGTCAATTCACTTCACTTCATTTTTATTTATACAGTGCCAGATCACAACAATGATTCAAAGCACTCCCATTCAAGATCATCTTCTCCACCATGACCAGTCAGTTTTCAGTGCTACTGCACATTTTTTAAATTATCTCTTGGAGGCACATACACATGGAGAACAGGTGAAAACATACCATGTAGTCATTCTTGTTTTACAGTTAGTGCATTGTAATGTAAAGGAGTTCACCAATTTTCAAGCAAATGCTTCTAAAATATTCAGAATAATGCTCCTCGACATGCAAGTTTGTGAATATATCATCATATACAAATATATAGCAAATAATAACATACAAACATATGGAGAAATCCCGTATGCAAGGGGAAAGACTTAAAATGAGTATAGGATGCCTACAATCTTTGGACACCCAGTTAGCATTAAAACCGGCATTGATTCTTTCATGGAAATAACTACATTGGCTCAGGCACACTTCCAGAAATTATTGTCTGTGAACACAGCTCACTATGCCATCCACAAATCCAGATTAAAGCCCTATCATGGAAAGAATAAGCCATATGTGATCCAGAAACACCACTGTCTTCTCTGGGCCAAAGCTGGGTGGAGCAAAAGTGCATTTAATATTTTATTTCAAGCTGTATCAGTTAGCCTTGTCAAGCAGCTAACTGATACATGTACAGTGTTTTAGCATAGAATTGTAACAGTGTAGTCCCCGTAGAACACAACAACACATTAAAAGCAAATTAAAACATTAGCGGTGGATGGTGGTTATGAATAACCACTGAAATATATCTACTGTCAATGGAAATAATTATTTTTGGAATCTGACACCTGTTTTATGGCAGAATATTAATTTTCTTTTAATGAAATAATTTTATATCACTGTTAAATTAGAGGTAAAAGACCTGCAACAGCAGCAACTGCAATGAATTCATAGAGTGAAAATATACAAAACACCACTGTCTGACAGTGCTAAGTAGGCACCATACCCTGGACTGAGGATGGGGGATTAAGTTCCTCAAAATACTGCGATGTCATTGGCAGCACAATATGACAGTGAAAATAAGAGTGGCCTTCATAACTTATATTTTTTTCCACAATCAAAACTCGCATAATTCACTACAAGATCATGACAGGAGCAAGAGTCTGGCCATTCCTCGTCAGGACAGCTCTGGATAGACGGATAACACACTATGACCAAATGAATGTGTGGTACATTGTTTTGTTAAGTAACTGCGTGGCCTTCTCAAACCTGTTTGCTTTCCTGCTATTTTTCATCATTCTTCCATCTCCCCTCATGCCTCTCACCCTGGAGACTTTGGTTCTTTCTTTTGTTTTGGATTTATTGGATTAACTTTATTGGATTATTTTGCTGTAGCCACTTTTCTGTAGCCTCACTGTCAAAACTTATTTTGCTAAACAAGTCTTTTTTCAGCCTCACTAAGTTAATTAAATGTCTTCTTTTCACCTTACCATATTAGAGTAATCTATACAAAAATACACCTAAAATTCCCACAAAATCTGAAATGCCATTATTTAGTTACTAATACTGCTTTGTATTTTTATTCTTTCTGACTGTATTACATTTAGGTTTAAATGAAAGGTAATATGCTTTCAATGTGGCCTTTTGTTTTTTGTTTCAGTCTTTCTAAAAGCTGCAAGGGAAAGTAAAAGTGTTAGTCTCCAGACATGGACGCCCAAGTCCCAGCATCCCAGCACTACAGTTAAGTTTTTGGTCCAAAAGTCTTTCCATGACACAGTTTGTATTTTTTTTTTCTCTGTACACCAACACAGCCAGCCATATTACCTCATTACACTGGAACTCTTATACTGCCTCCAGACCCTTCAGAATGGAGAATCAATGATTGTCACAGTTCTCACAGGTCCTTTCACTTCCTTCCAATTGGTCAAAAAAGAGACAGAGGGCACATACGACATGCAGATGAAAAGTGTCTCGAGACACAGAAAGCATTTCCTTTAGAACAGAAGGACTGTTTACACCAATGTGATGTCGTAAGTATAAGAATACAGTATTTACAATGAAGATTATTCCTGTTGCTTTAGTTTTAGTTTGATCTAAATTATGCTGAGTATACATACATAAAGTAATAAGAAGTGACATTCTCTAAGACATGAAAATCTGATTTTTGAGGTATTTCCATTTTGTTGTGTTGTTTACTATTCATTTGTATGATTTTTTTTTTAATTCTCAGGATTATCTGTGATATTTAAGCTTACTGTACGACTGTACATTACATTTCTGGTTGGTTGGATTAAGCTTTCCTGCTTGTTATTTTAAAATGGATCTTGGAATGGATGAGGAACAAAGCAATTTAGAAAGAGGAACAAAATGTTGCAAACCAGACATTATTTTCTTGACGCTGAGCATCATCAGTTTCCTTGTTCCTGTTGAAGGATTTTCTTTGAAGACTTGCAGAATCAGCTACAGTACAGCCATATGTGTCGGAAGTAAACTCTGAGCTGTTCCTGAAGATATTCCCTCAACTGTGACAGGCCTCGATTTAACTTCTAACAGAATTTCAACAATACATGCATCAGACTTCAAAGATCTACTAAATTTGACTAAGTTAGACCTTAATATCAACAACATTTCACAGATAGAAAGCGGTGCGTTTGCCAATCTAAGTTCTCTTGAGACATTAAATCTAAATAATAACAAACTTGTTACACTGGGAGAAAATGTTTTTGATGGCTTGAGTTGCCTCATTGAGCTAAGAATTAATCAAAATCGCATTAAACAAATGGCATCCACATCTTTTAAGTCCATGACAAGTTTAAAACTTCTGGACATTTCTCATAACAAACTGCACCACATTACAAAAGTTCAATTGATATTGCAACATCTGCCACATCTACGGGAGCTGGTAATAAGCAACAATGATTTAACCACTTTTCAGTCATTTGAACTGACAAACAAATCATTAGAACTTCAGTACCTTGATTTGTCGAAAAATCCCCTCGCAGTCTTCAGGATCACTGCCGATGTTTTTCCAAATCTCACCTGGTTTAAAATTGGGAGCCCAGCCAAAAAGAAACAGATGATATGGGACGTGCAAAACAAGACATTTCTTAGTCGTGTTACTACTCTTGACATTAGTGAGCTTCATTTGGGTCTTGGGGACATGGAAAGGTTGTTAGAGTCAGTGAACTCATCATTAACTATTCTGAGAATGAATGCAATGACACATAACCTGACCACACTGATCAACATTTCCTGCACCATCCCAACAATGAGGACTCTGCAGCTTCGAAGCAATAAGCTCAGCTTTGTTAATGCATACTTGTTTAAGTTGTGTATTAATGTAACTGAGTTAGTTTTGACAGACAACAAAATAAAATACATCCATGATGATGCTTTCAGATCCCTTAAAAACTTAAGGATTTTAACGCTGAGTAAAAACAGGCTTCCACTGGTTCCAGCTGCAACAAGGAATCTACCAACTCTTTCAGAGCTGGATCTCAGCACCAATAACATCAGCACACTGGACTGCCATGATTTCACCAATCAGACAAAGCTCAGAAAGCTTTATCTTTATCAGAATTCAATCACAGCTCTGAAACCATGTCTTTTCAAGGATTTAAAAGGATTACAAACTCTAAAATTACAGACAAACCAAATAACTAAATTGAACAGTGCTTTCAAAGAACATTTGCCTGAACTTAGATACCTGTATTTAAATATAAACAAACTCACTGCTATCAAAAAGGATGAATTTAAAGGCTTACATTCCCTCCTGAACTTGTCATTACACAAAAATCAAATAGAAATTGTTGATCATAAGAGTTTTGTAGGACTGACAAATCTTACCTGCCTTTATCTACAACGGAACTCTATTAAACAAGATAAACTACAAAAAGGTATTTTCAATCCTCTGATCAATTTAAGAAGACTTGATTTGAGTGAAAATCACATCAATTACAATGAAAGTAGAAATTTGCCGGATCCTCCATTTTCTCAGCTGTCCCATCTAGAGGAACTGCTTGTTTTTTCACAACACCACAGGTTGCATAGTTATCTGCCTGGGAACTTTTTGCAAGGTTTGACCAGTCTTTTGAGTTTCAAAGCCAGGAATATCCGTATTGCGTCTCTGGACAAAGACACCTTTGTTTACACGCCACAGCTGCAATTACTTGAACTTTCTTCAAATGAACTTAAAGAACTCCCTTCAGATCTGTTTTTCCCAATTCCAAACCTTAAAAGCCTTTATATATCCAGGACAGCTCTTTACTCTCTAGAGTTCCTTAAAGATGCCAACCTCACAAAGCTGGAGTTTCTACAGGCAAGACAGAATTTATATCCAGTTATCCGCAAAGAAGATATAAAATCCCTACCAGCTCTGACTTATCTGGACCTTCAGGGCAATGGATTCACCTGCAACTGTGATAACAGCTGGTTTCTCTCGTGGGCAATAAATGACAGCAAAACTCAAGTTTATGATGCATATAACTTTACGTGCAACTATCCACAAGAATTCAAAAGTAAGAAGCTGTTGGACTTGGACACCCGCTTCTGCTCAGTTGACATGGGCTTTATTTGTTTTCTCTGCACCACATGTGCAATCCTATGCTTGATAGTGGTGTCCTTCACTTACCATTTTATGAGATTGCAGCTCGTCTATGCCTATTACCTGTTCATAGCTTGGTTCTTTGACAAAAAGCACAAAAACAAGAAAACTCCTCATCAGTACGACGCCTTTATCTCCTACAACACCCACGATGAGCCTTGGGTCATTGACAAGCTCTTACCAAAACTGGAAGGAGAACAGGGCTGGAGACTGTGCCTACACCATCGAGACTTTGAACCAGGTAAGACTGCAGGCTTGAATTCAAAGTTAAATGGTGATTTTTTGACTTGAAAATGTCTCTCAGTTAGCCTGTTTTTGCCCATCACTTCATTCCAGATTAAAAAAAACTATATATAGAGCAATTAAATCTAGAACATTAGTTTTGGTGATCCTCAACCTACTTGTCCAACAAAGTTAACATTTTCTTTCTTTTATTTTCTGTTTTTCACATTCAGACACCCTAGTAACTACATTTTAATTTGTTAACACTACTACAGTAGCTTTGCATGGCCTCAATCAAAGGTTTATCGGTGTCAGTTCAATTAGGGGAGATCATTTGAAAGTAATGAACATGATTCATTGATACAGTAAAATTAATCAGTGTATTTGGTGATTAAACATCAGTGACCTGTCATGGAAGAACAGAATCCCATTAGTGACAGGATTCAGGGCAGGGCCCCCTGGAGTCTAGGTACTGGTGTTTTTCCTCTGAGAGATTTGGGCAAGGTCGAGATAGGGAGGAGGTGGGTTGCACGGAACAGAGTCTGAAAGGAAGACTGGTGTTTGAGCATAGGTTTAAACCACACAGAGCGGTGGTTGACTGGTTCAAAGAATGCAAGCAAGAAGATCAGGTTGCACAATAAGGATATCAGTATTGAGAGTGGCAGTGTGGGAAAGTTGTAGTGATGCAATAAACAGACTGGCAACCCAACACCCAGGACAGCAGGCAGAAGCATGACAGCAGATCTTCCTTATTTAAGTTGCATACAGTTTAATTTACATTTTAAAAATTGCTATTATAAAATTTACCATTAATTAAAGGTCAGTGGCTTTACAGCAGTGATGCCAGACAGTATAAAAGCTCTGGGTTTGAACCCGCTAGCTCGGGCCTGTCTCATTGGAGGTTTCCTGTAGCACCCTCAAACATTGATGTAGGATGTAGAGTTATAAAAAAGGGTTTATTCTGGTCTTGACAACCCATGAGAACAGGTCGTGGACGAAAACAATAAAACAAAAAACATCACATCAAAATGCACTCTTGTACTTGGTGCCAATCAATCAAAAGTCCTTAATAACAGAAAATAAAACATTTAAAGTACACAAACCTTGTTAGCTGACATCCAGGAGGGACTAAATAGTCCTTTGTAGCCTTATTATCTTATTCTGCATCTTTTTTCTCACTTATTTCTTCTCTTTTTCTAACTTTGAACATTACTTTCTCCATGTGTGGAGCTAACCATAAGCTGCAGCATGCAGACACCATGTGTGCTAGCAAAAGAGTGGCTGGGTGGAGACCCAAACTGCAAACAACGCTACCCTCCATAGTTCACCACCAGAGGGTGCAAAAGAGCAAAATCTGGACATACAGCTCAACAAAACATCAAATGCAAAAGATCTTTACATTACCTGTTCTTCCTATGCATGTGTGGATTCTTCAACGTCTCCCACATTTCAAATACATACATTCAAATTCACTTTAACTAATAGGCCTCTGTGAACTAAAAAATGTATGGATAGATAGATAGGTAGTGAGACTACCTAACAGCAGATACCTGTTGGAGTACTTTTGATAAAAGTTGTCATTGTTGTGCTTGAAATTGCAAACGTTGTTTTGAACTGCATGTTCAGATATTTTTCTTTCCCTCCCCTACATCTAGGATGGTGGGGGATGCTATTAGCTATGGTGTTTAACTGCAGACAATTGCATGTAAGGTACTGGTTCGCTTATTTAGTAAGGAATGTTTACTTCCTGCCATTTATGGGCTCACCTGTGCTTGTATATGGTGGACTGTTAAAGGAGTTAAGCCATGTACAGGGAAGATGACCCTTTTATGACCAGCAGGAAGTCACATATACAGAGACACACATGCACACACGCACACACACACAGTGCCTTAGCTTTTATGACGTACCATATGGGTTTTACAATGGTTGTGTATCACTGAATAAAAGGCTGCGAGGGGACGCTGGTTTTTAGGAGTTGGCTGGGATCAGGGGAGGAGCTTTCAGTTCCAAGATCCTGATCCGACCGGCTTCCCTTGCAAGTTGAATGGTCTGAGCTCTAAGTGTCTTGCTTTGTTCATGGGGATAAGTCTCTGAGTCAGCGAGTGCAGACCTAACAATACCTCAAGATACTTTCATATGTACTCCGGAGGGTGTCACCACAGTACTTACATGACCTACTGAGGACAGCCACTGAGTGTAACATTTTCTCTTCTCAGGGAAGCCCATCATAGATAACATCACGGATGCCATTTACGGAAGCCGGAAGACCATTTGTATTATCAGTCACAAATACCTTGAGAGTGAATGGTGTTCCAGAGAGATCCAGGCAGCCAGGTAACCTGTTGGCTCCTTCAGGCAATGTATCGTACATACAGTGGTATGTAGTGTGACTTTGTAGTGTATCTAGACTCATGTGTAGATACACTACACTTAATTAAGACAAATATCTAATCATCCAATCACAAGTCAAGCATTTAATCATGTAGATATGATCAAGCTGAAGTTCAAACTGAGCATCAGGAGGAAAAGTGAGTGAAAGTGGCATGGTTTTTTTATTTGAGTGTTTCAGAAACTGCTGATCTACTGGTATTTTTCCCACACAACCATCTCTGGGGTTTGCAGAGAAAGGTCTAAAAAGATAAAATATCTATTGAGTGAAAGTTTTCTGGGTAGAAATGCCTTGTTGATGGTCAGAGGAGAATGAGCAGACTACTTTAAGCTCATATGAATTGAACAGTAACTCAATTAACCACTTGTTACAAACAAGATATGCAGAAGAGCATCTCTGAAGGCACAACACATTTGGCATTAAAGCACATGGGAGTAAGAAGAATTTGAACTAATTTGATTGAAAACACTCATTTTGTCCCTCTGCGAATTATTAACTTATCATGGTGGAGGGCTCCGTGTGCCCCAGGAATCCCAGGGGCTATGTCGTCAGGGGCTTCTTTTGTCCCCTAGTAGGGTATCCTATGGCAAATTGGTCCTGGGTGAGGGACCAGACAAAGAACAATTCAAAAACCCCTATGAGCAGAAGATCGAGGTAATAGTTCACCCTGCCGTGATAGGGTTACGGGAGCCCCACCCTGGAGCAAGACCCAGGAAGGGTGCCCAAGGGCATCTGAAGGCTGGGCCTGGGGCATGGGGCCCGGCTAGCCACAGCCCAACAGAGGTACATGGGCACACACTCCAAGTGTGTGTGTGTGTGGGGGGGAATCCCTGGCAGACTGATCCCTACCTACCGAGATTAGTGATTGGGACATGCAATGTCACCTATCTGGTGGGGAAGGAGTCTGCACTAGTGCGTGAGATTTAGAGGTACTGGCTTTTTATTTCCAGGGGTCACCTCAATGCATTGGCTTGGGCTCCAGAACCAGTCTCCTGAAGTGACACTGGGCTTTGTCTCACTCTGGACTTTCCCTAAGTGAGAGGCGGCAGGCTGGGGTGGGTATGTTAGTATCCCTGTCAGCTTGCTGCCTGTATACTGGGTCTTGGAATGGGTCCTGACTGTCATTTGCGGTCATGCACCGAACAACAGAGTACCCAACCTTCTTGGAGACTGGGGACGTTGAATGGACTACAGGGAGTGCAGAATTATTAGGCAAGTTGTATTTTTGAGGAATAATTTTATTATTGAACAACAACCATGTTCTCAATGAACCCAAAAAACTCATTAATATCAAAGCTGAATGTTTTTGGAAGTAGTTTTTAGTTTGTTTTTAGTTTTAGCTATTTTAGGGGGATATCTGTGTGTGCAGGTGACTATTACTGTGCACAATTATTAGGCAACTTAACAAAAAACAAATATATACCCATTTCAATTATTTATTTTTAATATAATAAATATAATATAATAGAATATAATAATATAAACAAGCTAACTTTTTTTCCACTCGATAAAAGTTAACGTGAGTGTTCTCGGTGGTCAGAAGCAAATGTAATCGCATGGCAGGATGCTGTAAAAGGACCAAACTTCAGCCAGGAGAACAACTGAGATAATCCATCCACAATACGAGGTTAGTCATTCATATACTGCTGCATGGGCTGGGCTGTAGTTACATACTAAGGTTTTAAAAACTGAGCTTAAATAAATGATTAGCGGTAATAAAAGCCGAGGGAGGTCAACAGTGATCACTGACTGTTTTAGGAGCTTTTTGAGATTAAATAGAAGAAAATACAAAACATTAAACATGTTAACAACACAAAAGCCATATTAAACGCAGACTACTTTAGACCCGGAAGTAGGATTCGTCGCGTCATCACTGAACAACCGGATTACCAGGCCATGATTTTATTGTAAATTTGTTTGTAATTATTTCATGATAGTGAGTTACCATGTTCAGATATTTCTGTAATCTTAATGTGTTTATTGTTTCTGCACAAACTGTTTACATTTTGTTTGAAATAGAAAAATGGAAGAAACAACAAATAAAACGATATTCTGTCTTTGATGAATTCATTGTAGTTTGCGGTTGATTGGGCTATTACAGAATCACACTTTTAATCTTCACTTTAGTCTTAAAAAGATACTAGAATATTGTATGATATAAACATACAGGAACAGCAAAAATAATGTATACCTGTAAGTAGAGATGGACCGATCCGATATTACGTATCGGTATCGGTCCGATACTGACCTAAATTACTGGATCGGATATCGGAGAAAAATAAAAAATGTAATCCGATCCATTAAATATCACGAAAGCACCTCACAAAACTTGCAACACGCCGTAACTCACCTCAGAACGTTAGCACGTTGGAGCAGTATGCATCACGTGATAGAGCGGCTGTGGCATGCGGGACCTGTCGGTGCTCTGGATAGCATGTGGAGCTTCGCTAGCAACCCGGCATTTCATCTCCGACAAAGTTATCCCCGAGAGAAGTAAAGCAAGTGTGTAAGTCCATCTCTGAATGTTTGTAAAGCATTCCTGCGTTAAGCTTAACAAACGATATATGGAGCGACTGCCTCTTCTCACTGCTACTTCAATCATGAAACTGCTTAACGATCAGCTGATC